GATGAGGTGGTTACCAGAACCCAGAGAGGACAGTCTTAGGAGAAGGCACCCGAAAGGACCTGTGGCTTTCAAATTAGGGACGCAGACCATCTGAGGTGGTTTTCCAGGAAGAGAGCCAAGAGAATAAATGCCCAGCTTCACACTCCTTCTGTCTTCCAATCTCCTGCCTCTGTTTGACTGAACCCAAAGAGACCATTGAACATGGAAACCCACTGATGTAGTTATAAAGGCCAGGACCCAGCATATAGAGAGGGTGGTGAAGAGGAATATGAAGGTCTACTTGGAAAAGATTTGACATTGTCCACCACTGTTGCCCTTCAGTATTCCCTCTTGTTTTTCTCAGGTAAAAGATGAATTTTCTCAACAGAGATGACACAAAAATATCTCCAGATACCATCACATCAAATGAAGGTCTCAATTTTAAGTGGGTTATATTCCCACCTAAAACCTAAAATTCTATCACTGAGGTTCTTAATACAAGATAGTGGGTAGAAATGAGGAGTGGATAAGAAAAAATTTAAAAACAAACACGAGGTATGCCCTTAGCTTCCTAATAACTGATCATGAGGCCTAGGTAGTAACCACAGATACCTTCTTCCACTACACCTCCATATTTCCCTTACCCACTGCCGGTCCTTCAGCTGGATGGCATTTTTTATTTATGGAAGTAATCCAAATCATTATTCCTATAATATCTAAGTCCTTGAAGATCCTGTTTTGAATGATGTATAGTTTTTCATTGAATAGGACTCTTCAAAGGAGAGCAAGAAGTACCCCAAAGGATCCCCTGAACTCCAGACACAGCCCTATCCACTATTGTAACATAGTAGCACCCCCATTTACATCTGGTAACTGGGATCAAATACTCCTGCTGGGACAATGACACTCTGTCTGTTGGTTCAGCAGTAAAAGAAGCCTGAACATATAGGGGAAAGATAGTCGTCTCAGCTTTTCATTCAACAGAGATAGAGCTTTTTTCTCTGGTGGAAGTATTTCTTCCTTGGGGCAGTAGAAACCCAAGCTTTCTGAGCCCAGGGTGGTGATTTGGCAAGCAAAAAGTTTTCTATAGAATGTTGTCTTCTACCTGGTGCCAAAAGTGAGCCTCTATTAGGCCATTCAATCATTCTGTCAAGCCAACTATATCTAAGCAATGGGCATATGATAAGACTAGTGAATGTTTTGAGTGGGAACCCAATATCTTGCTTTCTTTGTTATAAAATATTTTCATTAGTTGGAAGTGAAATTATGTAGGACATTATAACAATATATCAGGCATTCTATAAGACTACAAAGAGTAGAGCTACTAAACGTATGCAGGCAGGGAAGGAAAATCTTCACCTAGAATATATGTTATGCCTATCAGAACAAATAGTGCCCCCTTTATGATGATATGGGTTCAAGATAATCAACCTGCTGCTAGATAGCCAACCAACCCCCAAGAAATAATGCGACATTAGGAGCTTAGCAATGACCTCTGCCGTTATCAGGTTGGGCACTCACCAGTGACAGGTTCAATTTTAGTGAAAACATTTTGTATCCATTGATGATACACAATCAAAGAATATTGCCCTCCAGATGACAAAATAAAAATGACACTGTGGAATTAAAATCCTAGCAAATTCAAATGAATCCATGAGGAAGAGCTTGGTTTCTAGGGCTTATGATATAAACACATTTTTCTAGCATCAATGATATGTGTGCTATTTGCAGAGCAGAGAATAAAACAGGAAAACTGTACAATTTATAACTTTTATGAGCTTAAAAATCAAAGCAAATAGTTTCTAAAAATATGATTGTTGCTTCAAATTAAACATACACAAATGTTATAAGAAATAAGTTGATTATGCTTGATGGAGTACGAAAAGACTTTAGCCAAAGAGTCGAATAATGAAGAACAACAAAGCAGTCTAAAAGAAGAAAGAAAAGGTGTGGTGTTTCAGGAAGAGTGAAGACTGTTTTAAACATTACTGAGTTAAAAGTATGAGATGACTCCATCTGAATAACTCTAAAAGTCACAGTTTTGTTGTAGCATTGGGTTATATGGTTCTGGAGGAAAGGGTTGGAGAAATATGACTAGAATGTTAGGAAGGCCTTGACCACGGAATGTCTAGAACATGGAAGACATTACTAGCTGGTGATAGTTTTGCATTTACTTGAGCAGCAAGAAACAAAGGGTTTTAAGGAGGTCAGCAACATTATCAATATTTTCTGTTGGAAAGTTCATTCTGTATAGGGATAAATTGATATAGGGCTAACAGGTGCTTATTAAAAAGGGAAGGAAGCAACAATGGTGACTTGAGTAGGATTTTCATAAGGTTATTGCAAAGGGAAGGTATAGAAGCAAGAAATATTTAGGAGGTGATATCCCTATGACTTGGAAATTGATTTGGATGAAGAATGGGAGTAAACAGCAGACTCTTAAATGTTTCCAAAGTTTAGGGTTTAAATGGTTGTTTGGGTGATGATGCCATTAACAGAGATAAGAAATAAAAGAAATAGGCTTTCTGAAAGAAATTAATTTAATTTAAATAAACGAAATTGATCCAATTTCTAAATAATAGAAATAATATACAAGGTGGGTGAGTGGCAGTATGAGTCTGGAACATAAGCTTAAATTCAGAATTGAAACCTAGATTATAAAGTTAGGAGCATATTGATGGCAGGTGAAGTGAAGGATAAAGATTAAATTTTCTAGTAACAGTGGTAAGTGGGAAATCCTGTGCTTCCCTCTACACTAGAATCTCCATAGGACTGTGAATTTATATGCTAATATTCAGTTACCTAGAACAATGTTTGGTATGTATAAAGTACTCAGAAATGTTTCTTAAATGAGGAGAGAGAAGAAATAAACTGGACCAAGAAAAAACAAATATAAGAAACATCAATATTTCAGGGGAGAGAAAGGGAAGCAGGGAGAAGCTCTGAGAAAGACTGGCAAGAGAGAGAAAAAATTAGCAGAGAATATTTCTGAAAAGTCCAAGTAGCACAATGGAAAGGAGGAAATGGCCAAGAGGATCAAATATTGCCAAGATGTCAAATGAGCTAAAGACAGATATGTGCAAATTGGAATTGATGATTTGGAGAGAGGAAGAGGCAGAGTGAATGGAAAATCAACGAGGAATAAGGAAATACAGCCAGAGACTGTAAGCAACTCCTTAAAGAAAATTGGATGAGAAAGAAAGAAAAGAAATTTGATAAAAGATAAATGGAAATTCAGAGGTTTTAATATTTCATTTTTTGTTGTTGGTGATAGTATTTTTAAAAAACATTCCTTTTGGCTGAAAGAGATTTAATTAGGTTTATATGCCACAGGAGAAAAGGAAAGGTTAGAGCTCAAAGAGGAGTTGATTGATGAAGCAAGATTTCAGAGACTTAACCAGATACTGGTGGTAACTTTATCATCTTAGCGACAGCTGGAAGTCCCTCACAGTCACCTTCATTTTGGGTTTTGGAAAGACCTGGCTTAAGACTCATCCTGTCTCTGCAGACTTTTCCATGGGTTCCTCTGCCCGGTTTCCATCAGCTGTCACAGCTCAGGATGTGTCTTGGCTGCAGTGGGGAGGAAAGGAAGTCAAGAAAGAGCTGGGGAGAAGGATCCAGCATTTGCTTGCGGCTGGAAGCTGACTCCCACACTCAGCATCTTCCCCACACTTCGTATTCTGCTGCTTGGGCTTTGCACTTTCCTATGGAATCCTCTTTATTTTTTCCTCTGAATCAGAGTGGGTTGGGAAATATAAACACTAGAGTCATGACAAACTTGTCTATGTGGGAAAGAAAAGATGGCACTGCAGTTTTAGCAGAGCATCTGGGTAGCAGTTACAGCAGAGAAAAAGCAGGAGGACTTTATTATGGCTAAAACTTTACTTCTTTTCCTTGCTTTCTTTCTTCCTCATTAAATAAACTCTTCTTTGGTCTGTGCTAGAAATTTAGAGATTCCTTGTCCTCAAGGAATTGTTGGTAAGTTGGGTAGAGATGTAAAAAATGTGATGTACCAACAACTGAGACCCCTCCCCAACAAGTGGAAGCAAATTTGCAGGTGAGTTATGTCCCATCCCAGGCCTGAGAACTGAGGATACTGAGACAAAGAGAGAGAGAAATCTGTCTGAAGGAAGGAAAATTTGAGCATGCCTAGAATAGGGTGCTGATTCTTCTTCTACAGCAGCTAGAAGAAAGAGAATAGAAAAAAGAAACAAGCAGAAGTAGAGAAGAAACACCATTCACTGCTTCATTAGACATTTACAGGGCACCTACTGTGGGCCAGGCACTCAGTGAGATGACCTGCAGCAATATGAGTGGTGATAGCTCCCTTGGGCAAACTCAGAAAATTGTAGTTCCTGGCCCATTGATCCCCAGCCAGGACTCTCCAGACTTTTAGAGGTACAAGAAGGTAGCAATGATAAATTCATGGGGTTCTGAAAAATATTTAAAACCTGAACTTAAAATATTTCAATAAGACCAAATATAGAATCCAACGGTGGGGGCTGTTGCCAACTCACAGGCATTATAAGCTATAACTTGCATTCTGCCCCTGATCATACTGGAATATTTTTCAGTTCTTCAGGAAGTCACACCCTGGGTGTGTGACACATACTGTTCCTTCTGCCTTCTCTCCTTCTTCTACTAGTTAATTCTAATGAGTCCTTTGAGACTGGGCTCAGATGCCATGTTATCAGGCCCAGAATGGGTTAGGTTTCTCTTCGAGATTTCCATGCCGTTTTGTGCTTTCCCTATCTGAGCTTCGATGGCATATTCCACATTAGAACTCTGCTTTCTTTGGTGTCCCCCACAAGACTGTGAGACTCTCCAGCATCAGAAATACCTGTGATTTCTCCCTGAAGGTTCAACAGCCAGCGTGATGTTCCAGCTAACACGATATCCAAGCTATGGAAGGTGCTTCATAAAAGTTTGTTTAATGAAATTACAGTCAGAGAAAGAGCAAGAGTGGTTCATTGTGATTAAAAACTTTACTTTGGCCTTTTTCTTGTATTTTTTTGTTTCAGCTGCTGTGGAAGAGTTATCCATCTCACTGTATAGATGTTCAAACTTCCTTTTCCAGAATAGAATTCTCCTTAACTGTGTCTTGGGACCTCCAGTTTTCAGGTTGAGCGACCATGTAATCCCCCCTGAAAGTTCTCTTCTACTCCAAGGGGATGTGGCCTGACACTACATGGGCAATGGAAAAAGCACTGTCCAGGGAGCCCTAAAAGGTGCTTTCAGGGTCTGACTCTGCCACTAATTCCTTCTGTGGCTTCCACATGTTATTTTTCCTCTCTAAATTTCACTTTCTTTTTCTTTAAAGTAAGGAGCGAGGAAGGGTTGGGGACCAGATGGGAAGTAGCACAGTGTGGGGGAACAGACAGGAAAAACATGGAATCAGACCTATCAGGGATCAGCTCCCAACTATGCCACATGCACTGTTTGTCACAGAACTTCCCTCAGTGCTTTCCTTGTGAAAAGGGAATGACATTGTCTGGCTTTTCTAACCATTGTGAGAATTATAGGCTGGTACCATGTGCCTGTCATTGGTACATACTGAATAAGTCATATTCTGCTGTCCTTAAGGCATCTTCTAGTCTTCATATTTTCATATTTAAAATTCATCATCTTCATGCAGTCAAGCCCAGTCAATACTCTATTGGACTCTCCCATATTCTTACTCAAATAATTTATTCTTTTTCCCATTTTCCATATGTTATTTTAAAAATATTTATTCCACTTATCCATTCAGTATTTTAAATAATTCACTTGGGAAAAAAAAAATTCTACCTCTACTTGGTGTTGACTGAGTGGTCCTAGACTAGTGGCTTCTAATTTTTTTTGTCTCAAGAACCCATTACACTCTTGAAAATTATTGAGGAACCCAAAGTGCTTTTGTTTATGTACATTCTATCTAGTAATATCAGAATTAAAATCACTTTTGCTTATGTAGGTAATATCTTTTTATATTGGAAATTAAAACTGAAAAACATTATTTTTAAATGTTAGTTTATTTTAAAACAATAATCATTACATGCTTACAAAATAATATTTTTTATGATAAATAACTATATTTTCTTTAAAAACAGTGAACAGTATAGCATTGCTTTATATTTTTATAAACTTCTTTAATGTCTGACTTAATAGAAGGTAGCAGATTCTCACATCTACTTTTGCAGTCAGAATCTGTACAATATATTGTCTGAAGTCTATTAAAAATACAGCCTCACCCAAATATATAGTTGCGTACAAAATTAATATTTTAAAAACCTTTTCAGATAATCATGGGTATTCTTTGATATCACACCAAAACTTGGCAAGTGGTAATTACTTAGAGATTACTTGCAATGTGAAATATCAAGCCATATCAATGAGATTTTTATGTTCTACTACATTGAAATACATTAGTGCATGTTTTCATTTGAATGGATTATTTTTGCCTACACCTAATTTTGTAACATTATGCACTGGCTATATGGAAAATATCAGTTCACTGAGTTATACAGATCTTCAAAATGTTGATTCATTTCTTTATATAATATCAAAAAATGACATTTCTTAGTATCACCAGAAATCTGTATCATCAGAAAAGTCTGTAAGTATTAGTATGATGCCAAGCTCCTGAAGGTGGATACAAGTTTTCCAAAATTTTAATTTTTTCTTGAAAGCATGAATCTAATCACTGGTAGAGAATGCCATGAGTTGTTTTCCTTCAACGGGCAGGCTCTTTCATTCATTTTTGAGAAAACTTATGACATATACCCAAGTATGAATAATCATAGTTTGTCAGTTGCTCTTTCAAGTAATAAAATTATTATTTTTAATGCTCCATTAAGGACATTTTTAAGTGAAATTGACTTTTGTTTTTATTTCTGTTTCTTAACTCTGAGTACATGTGTTAAATAATACAATAACTACTAATAATGTTTGTTGTCACTGCCTTGATTCCTGCTAAGGTACCTATAGTTTTACACAAAGGATTCATTAACCACATTCTGGGAAAGATTGCTAACATTTTTTTAAAGGCAAAGTGGCCTCAACTGTAGACCAGATTAGACGTCAAGTTCAATTTGAGAGCAGTTCTCACTCTTCTTTGACAATGATATGGCTTATTTTCCAGATGACATCTGCCTAGTATGTAATTGGTAACTATATCCAAGTAAACATGTGGAAAATCAGAGCAAGAGGGTGTGTGGGCTCAGAGGGAATTGCTTGTTTGGGGGATGATGGAAGAGTGCAGTTCTGGAAAGAGATCAGTTCTATGAATGTGTATTTCTGGTCTTCAAAAGATTACCACATACGTGCTGTCATACAATTTATAATGTGCCAGAGGGAGATAACTTGATGTGGAGAAGGAACAGGGGCTTTGCAGTCAGCCAGGCTAGAGTTCCAGTACCAACTCAGTTACTACTGTCTGGGCAGCCTCTGCCAATTTACTTTACCTTGCTAAGCCTTAATTGCCTTGCTGTGGCCACATGGAACCCCTCTCTCTTCAGGAATGGAGGACTTAACTTCCCCAGCTGCAGGAAGGGATGCTGAAGAGAGTCCTCAGTTTCAGTCCTCTTTTCACACCTCCTCTTGAGGGTCAACCTGCCTCCCATGACTGATCTATGGCCTGGTCACTGTATTCCAAATTGGTATAATTCTGAAAGACTGTACCAACACCAGAACTCCCCATGGGGTCAGCTGAGGCCTTTGTTGGAACTATATATTACAGCTGAGCTTCTCACTATTCCCACCCTGCATCTTTCTGTTCTCTTTTCACAAGTATTGCCCCAATTAAGTTTGTAAGAGCTCCCCAGTAAAGTCCTACATGCTAATCTTCAATTCAGAGTATACTTTCTTTTGAGCTCAACCTGAAGCAGAGGGTTTATTAATGTTATAATTTTTATTTATAATCCTCCAGTCCCTCCCATGATGGGTGGGCGTCATATCTGGACGGCCCTTGGTATACTGAGTAGCCTAAAGGTTGTAAGAGGAGCACTTGGACCCTGGAGCCAGGATAGGGCTCCAGCTAACTCCATATTAATCTCCATAATTAGATGGGAGTCAACATACTTTGTAGCAGGAAGACATCAAGTTGTGATGAGAGAAGAGGTAGGGATGCAGGGAGAAAAGGATTGGAAGAACCTTCTCTGGAAGAAGAGTAAGAAATTGGAGACTGGCCTTCAGACATGTCTGATGAGGATATTTCTATAGTAAGGGTTCTGGAACCACCCTGCTTGGGTACAAGTCTGCCATGCACTTGCTTCATAACTGAGCAAGTTACTCTATACCTTTATATCTCATTTTCCTCATCTGTAAAATGGGAATAGTAAAAGTTTCTACTTTCAAAGGTTGTCTTAAAACTTAAATGTGCTAACTAGAAATTAGAAGATGATATATATATATATATAATATATTTGTTCACTATCTAATACTAACTGGGAGAAGCATAAAAAATTATAGTAATGAAGTTGTACGGTGTGGATGTACATAATTTTAGTAACTTCACAGAAAATAGAGCTCCTTAAAGTCATGTGAGAGACAGAGTAAAGTCATTGCAGACGTGACATATGAGAAACTGTGGAGTAAGTAGGAGTTTACCAGGAAGAGAAAATAGGGAAAAATAGAGAGAATGATACTCTATCACAGGCGTGGTGGCACATGCCTGTGGTCCCAGCTACTCGGGAGGCTGCGGCGGAAGAATCGCTTGAACCCAGGGGGCGGAGGTTGCAGTGAGCAGAGATTTCGCCGCTGCACTCCAGCCTCGCCACAGAGCAAGATTCCGTCTCAAAAAAAAAAAAAAGATTTCTAATGTTACTGATTTGCTCTGACTGGAAGATATGACAAACACCATAGCCATTCTCTCTCTAATTAATTAATTAATTAACAACTGCTCACTCCATATAGGACTAAAGCTTCTTATTCTTTTATTTTTATAAATGTCTTCTAATTTGAGGAACTTAGATATATGTATGTTCGCTCTGAAATGATTGGAGGACATTTGAACAGCAGTGCCTAATGTCATAACCACAGATATTCTTTTCTGTTGATCTTAACTTCCAAACATCATGATCTGCTTTTAACTTATAGTTACTTCCTGGTCAACCTACAGCTTGAGGGCAAGCTCAGAATAAACCACATTTGAGTTTCGACACTCACCAACTGGGGGAAAGCATATTCCATATCCTCTTACCTGTCTCTCAGGCACAGTATAATAAAATGAGAAGGACATTGGCTTTGAGGTCAAATATACCTGTGTTGATCTTAGTTTTGTCTTAAGTTAAGTAAACTTGGGCAAGTTACTCAGCTTTGCTTATGTTATCTGTCCAGTAGAGGTAATTATTATCTCAGAGTGGTTGAGAGTATCAGTGAATTATTAAATGTCAAGTTATCGGTACAATGCCTAATATGTATTAGGTACCTCGTAAGTATTAGCTCTCCTTTTGTGTCTTTGCAAATATGAAAACTGTTAGCTTTCAGATGTGTGCCAGTGCATGTGAAGTCAGTGTGGGGACTAGAGTTGGCTTCTTTCACCTCCAAATTAAAAATCAAACTGTGCAGATTCTTAAATGCACCCAGTTTAGACTACCTATGGATTAGAGAACCACAGCACATTTCAAATGATAAACTGTAGAATTTTTTAATTTGGTGAATCACTTTTAACAATTTTTCAGGGGTATCTGTTATGAAATAATAAATCTTAATCTTATTCATATCTATAATATCCATTCCAGTGAGTTAAAGATATTTTATTTTTCATTGACGCATTTTTGTAAGCTATCCCAAATAGCTTACAGTGATTTAAAGATATTTGATTTTTTATTGACACATTTTTGTAAGCTATCCAGAATTCCTTATGGAAAGGGTAACATATACAACATACAAAACAATGACATGGAGTGTGATAAACAAAATAGCCAAAGAAAGAATTTATCGAGGGCAACTTTCTACCTCAATGTGTGCTTTGCATCTTAATTAGGCTGAAAGCCTTGGGAAGCATAGCTTAATGAAAAAATACTATTTGACCTTTCTAATATTTTCTTTTTACCCACAAAGAAAATATCCAAAGAACAAAACTTTCTGATATGGAACAAATTCTTATTTTTATCTGGCACATACTTTG